TCATGCTGATGCCATTGGACCATGGACACTTTGAGCTGCAAGGATGGAAGACAGCCTCTGGACCCTGAAGGGACAGCTCCTAGGATAGCTTCCCTCATCCCCACCTGCCACCCAGCTCCACGCGGCACTTCTCTTTTTCCCAGGCCCACTTGCTACCTCATTGAATTCTCAGGCCACTGAAATAGTTGATAGGGCAGAGCTGTGATCCTCATTTTACAGGCTATGAAATGAGCACACAGCCAGCATTGCTCGAGAGGGGCCAGGTCACCTGATCTGGGGTCAGCTCCTCCGTGGAGAGCTCCCGCCATCAGTCGTGTCTGGCATCGGCAGAACTGGTCCTGCTTGAGATGGAGAGGGGGCTTCCAGGGACTTTTGAGGGACCCTCACTGGCCAAACAGAACACTGACCCAGCTCTCCTCACCTAAGCATCCCTTATTGTCTTTCTCTTAATGAGTCCCACGTTAGATTTTGTTCACTATACTGTATTTACTTGTTTCCCCACTGTCCCTTAGTCAGTGGCTTCTGTAACTGTCAACCAGAACTTCTGATGAAGGACCGCCAGTTTTCATCCCAACTTGATTCCAACCAAAAGCAGACTCCAGTGGAGCATTCATGCCCCAGGCTGTGGCTCCACAGAGACACCATAGAGACAATGGTGGTTCTGGGCTACAAGGGGCTCTGTAGTGAAATATGCTTGGGATGTGGTAGATGCCATCACATACCCACCTTGGAGGGTCATGATGCACACAGCATATTAAAGGCTTTGAAAGTCTTGCTGTAAAGATCCTCTTTGGCTGGGTTTTCCATAGGTATCTGACCACAGTCTTTCTGGAGAATCCTCACACAGAGCATTCGGACCATGCTGAACTAGGTGCTTCTGTTAGGTGGTTCGTCAGTGTCCTACTTCTGCCAAGCTTTTGGAAATGGTGAAAATAGCTAAGGTCCCGCATTAGGTCCTCCAAGGGTCTTTAGGTGTCAGGAACCCCAGGTTGGGAACTCCTGATGGGGAGGTAATGAACAGAAGGTGCCTAGGCTGGGAAGACCTGTCTGAGCAGGTAAGGCCTGCACTGAGACCCGAATGGCAAGAAGCAGCAAGCCAGGAGCGAGTCTGGGGGAAGTGTGTTCCAGGAAGAGGTGACAGCAAGGTCCTGCCTCAGGACCAAGCTAGGCTTCCTCTTGCGCCAAGGCTGCCCTCCTCTGAAGTCAGGGGGGCACAAGGCTGGGGAGGACAGAGTGCCCCAGAGTAGGCTGGGCAAAGCAGCCTTGCTCAAGGGAAGGGCTGGGGAAAGGCAGACTGCTATAAAACCCCCTGTCCTATCTCCACTTGCAGGGCATCCGAGGAGGCTTTCGTGAAGGAATCCAAGGAGGAGACCCCAGGCACAGAGTGGGAGAAGGTGGCCCAGCTGTGTGACTTCAACCCCAAGAGCAGCAAGCAGTGCAAAGATGTGTCCCGCCTGCGCTCGGTGCTCATGTCCCTGAAGCAGACGCCACTGTCCCGCTAGGTGCCTGCTAGGTGCATGGCCACAGAGCACGGGCCGGGCCTGGGCAGAGGAGGAGCAGCTGCTTTGGTCGGGGCGGAGACTCGCAGCAGCTGCTACCCACAGCCTATTCCACTCCTCCCCATCTCCAGGCGCTGGGAGGGGGACCCTCACCCCTCTCACCCCTCTCTCCCTCCTGGCCCTATGGTCCAGCCTCTCACACCTCCTCTCAGTCTACTCAATTGTGACTGTCCCTCCTGATGTAATTTTTTTTCTTGGCTTAAAGGGTGTGTTGTTAACTCTTTTTACACTTATTTATTATCATTCTCATTTCTCTGGAAGTCTCAACTGGTGTCAGGGCTCAGTTTGTGCTTAGAACTTTCCCAGCTTCGTGGCCTTGAGAGAACGTGAGAATGTTTCCCCATTTCCCAGCCAAGTGGGAGCCTCAAGTTGTCTATGTCTGTTGCCTCCATCTCCAGGAGGAAAGACAGCCTCTCGCAGAATGCTTTTGTAACCTCGATCCTTTAGCAAGTCTGTGAGGTAAATTCTGTTATTCTCATATAGCCAAGGACACCAAGGTTCCCAGAGGGGAAGTGGTTTGTAGTGGGAGGGAAAAGCAAGACAGAGGTTCCTGGTGGTAGCTTCCTTCTCAGCCTGGGGAAGAGCCCTGAAGACCCATGAGACTCCCTTCCTCGGGGTTGGCTGGGACCCTCTGGATATGGAGGGTCCACTGCCCTGTGTGTTTTGCTTCCTCCTTCAGCTGGGCCCATCTGTGGATTCGGGATAAACAACCAGTGACCACCTTCTTCCCCTTCAGCAGAGTTTGCAAACAGGACGCTTATGACCTGCATGATGTTTAAAAAGATTTGAGTAATTGCCAGTAAATATTAGCTTCCTAGGGCTTCTATAAGAAGGTACATGAACTAGCTGGCTTAGAACAGAAGTTTATTGTCTCATAGTTCTTGAGGCCAGAAATCTGAAATCAAGCTGTGGCAGAGCCATGCTCCCTCTGAAGGAGCCGGGGAAGGGTCTGTTCCACCTGCTCTGGCTTCTGGTAGCCTCAGGCATCCCTTAGCTGGCAGATGCATCACTGCAATCCTGCCCCCATCAGATGGCTGTTTGCACATTGCCTTATAGGTATGTCTGTCTTTGCAGCCAAATTGTCCTTTTTTTTTTTTTTTCTTATCAAACAGGGTCTCGCTTTGTCACTGAGGCTGGAGTGCAGTGGCACAATCTTGGCTCACTGCAGCCTCAACTTCCTTGGGTCCGGTGATCCTTCCACCTCAGCTTCTCAGGTAGCTGGGACTACAGGCACGTGCCACCACATTCGGCTAATCTTTGCATTTTTAGTAGAGATGGGGCTTTGCCATGTCACCCAGGCTGGGCTCCAACTCCTGGGCTCAAGCAATTTACCCACTTTGGTCTCCCAAAGTGCCGGGATTACAGGGATGAGCCACAGCACCCAGCTTAAGGTCACATTCTAACGAACTAAAAGGACTTCAACATTTTTGGAGGGGGACACCATGACACCAACACTTACAAACAGTGGTCATCCTCTTTAAAAGTGTCACAGTCCTCACCACTCCATGTCCTTGTCTTGTATCTGGAGGCCAAGTCACCACAGTGCACTGCTCTACACCTATCATCTCTGGCTCAAAGCTGACAGGACATGGTGGAGGCGAGACACTTAGCTGGCCCTAGTACAGCCCTCCACGCTGAGATCTAGACTCTTGGGGGGTTCAGGAAGGGGCATGTCTTCACTCCTTTTTCTTCTGCCAGCTTGAAGCTGGTGTTGAAAACAGCAGAATCACACACAGGAAGAGCGTTTGAGGAGAGCTGACCACAGACCAGGAACGCCTGTTGGAGACTTTCCATGAAGGAGGAACTCACAGGCCACCTGTCCTCCAGAATTTGCTCAGGTCCTCAGCCTCCTCTTCCAGAACCCTCAAACATTATGTACACAAATCGCTGGAGAGCTTTGGGACTGTGTTCTTCCCACTGTGCCAGACTGCTTCTCAGCCTGTTTCCTCTTCTATACTGTGTCAAGAACCAGATGGTCTAGGCTGGGCATGGTGGCTCACATCTGTAATCCCAGCAGTTTGGGAGGCTGAGGCAGGTGGATTACCTGAGGTCAGGAGTATTCTTCTAAAAATACAAAATACAAAAATTAGCCGGACATGGTGGCACACACCTGTAATACCAGCTACTCGGAAGGCTGAGGCAGGAGAATTGCTTGAGCCCGAAGGTTGCAGTGAGCAGAGATTGTGCCGCTGCACTCCAGCCTGGCTGACAGACTGAGACTCTGTCTCAAAAAAAAAAAAAACCAACCGGATCGTCTAGATCAGTGGAGCCCCGTAGACTCTCAGGAGGTGGGAGCAGGATGAGGAGCTGATGGCGGAGTGGAGGGCAGAACCCTCTGTCCCTGACCTCACTATGGGAGGCCTCATCTGAAGGAAGGTGGTCCTACTGAAAGTTTGAAAACCTGCTGGGTAGATCAGCATTTTTCAAATGGCATTACTCTAGGCCCACTGAACTAGAATCTCAAGGAGTGATTTTTTTTTTTTTGAGATGGAGTTTTGCTCTTGTTGTCCAGGCTGGAGTGCAATGGCGGGATCTCAGCTCACCGCAACCTCCACCTCCTGGGTTCAAGTGATTCTCTTGCCTCAGCCTCGTGAGTAGCTGGGATTACAGGCATGCACCACTACGCCCAGCTAATTTTGTATTTTTAGTAGAGATGGGGTTTCTCCATGTTGGTCAGGCTGGTCTTGAACTCTTGACTTCAGGTGATCCGCCCGCTTCAGCCTCCCAAAGTGCTGGGATTACAGGCGTGAGCCACCGCGTCGGGCCAAATCTCTGCTTTCAAAGTGCCCTGGGGGGCTGTTACTAGGAAAGTTCGGGAATAACTAGACTACACGATTTCTAAGCGCCACACCAGTCTAAAGTCTGTTTCCTCCAAAATCAAAGACCAAAAACCATGGGGATGATACTGAATTCACTGTACTACAAGTGGATTTTTAGAGTTTATTAAGCAGGGGAGTGGAGGGGAGATGTGGCACAAATAGAAGTATGTAACATTCAAACAACAGAATCTAGGATTTCTGAAAAACTTTCAGTTACGGTTGCACAAAGGGTCACTTCCTCCCCCAACGACACAGGGACCTCTCAAAGGAGAGGAGGGAGTAAGTCCCATGGTAGGACCAGTGGTTGCTCCTGGGTTTTGGAATCATTTCTGCGGAGCTTTCAAGGCCAGACCTTGGGCTCAGGGTCGAGATTTCATAGCGGTGACAGCTAGACCCAGCAAGAGGGCTGTGACCGTGAAACCCTGGGCGGCGATCCGGGTGCGCATCATGAGCTGAGAGCGCCGGCTGTTGCCCCGGTAGAAGGAGTAGAGGCCGTAGGTGAGGGCGGACACTGTGGCCAGGCAACCTGAAGAGGGGACAAAGCAACTGGGAAACAGCAGGTAGGGCCCCGCAGGTCATTCTCCGCTTTAGGTCTAGCTTCCCCAAAGCCAAGATCTCTGGATCACAGCGGAGGTAGGGCGGAGAGGGTAGGTCGAGGTGAGGTCCTCCTAGTCACAGAGTCCTCCCAATCCTAGGCCCCAAATCCCGCCCCCAAACCCGCTGCTCCCGCTCCAATCAGTTTCTCCCCTCACCGCCCCGCCCCCTCGTTACTTCTCTGGTTCGCTCTCATTCCGCTCCCGCTAGCGCTGTGTCCTCCTCTACTTCCTTCCCTCCGACATCACTCTCCTCTCCTTGCGCAGTTCCTACAGCACCCACTTACCTATGGGTACCACCGGGTTCTCGCGGGTCTTGCGAAGGAACTTTTCCTTGAAAGTCTCTGGATCCCCGTGAACAGTGGGGCTAAGCCCCTCAATGACTGGAGGCTTCGATGGTCCAAAGGGAACCTCCGGAATCACAGGGCCGGGAGTCGCCATGTCCGGGCCACAGCAGCACGAGAAATTAGGGACTCCGAGCTCTGCCTCCCGGTAAAGGTCACGAAAGGGGCGGGGAAACGAATAGATTGAGCGTTGTACGCAGGCGCAGGTGCTCGTTGCATCCTGGGAGTCGTATGCTTAGAACGGTAGCGCTACGAAAGGACTACATTTCCCCAAATGCCCGCAAAGCCTTGTGCACGCCTTCCGGAAGGAGTTTGTTACACGAGGTCTGAGAGTGAGACGCACTTTGAGCTGCTGGTGCCTTGGTCAGCGCGATGCCCAAGGCCAAGGGCAAAACCCGGAGGCAGAAGTTTGGTTACAATGTCAACCGAAAGCGTCTGAACCGGAATGCTCGACGGAAGGCAGCGCCGCGGATCGAATGGTGAGGGGGCTGGGGTTCCGGATGGCGGTGGGCCTCGGCCGGGAGGGTCCGCGAGATGACGGATCCGCGATGTCTCTCTTTGTCCGTAGCTCCCACATCCGACATGCCTGGGACCACGCTAAATCGGTGCGGCAGAACCTGGCCGAGATGGGGTTGGCTGTGGACCCCAACAGGGCGGTGCCCCTCCGTAAGAGAAAGGTACTGACATGGCAGGGTCTCGTTCCCTGTCTTCTTTACTCTTCCCCTGCCATACTGACCTAGGTTTCAGAACTTGGTACTGCCCATACCTTCCCTCAGGCCCTTCCCGAGTTTTCGACCTCCCCACAGTTGGAACGCTCAACTGACGGTGATCACGGGTCTCTCTACTACCTTCATCACACTCCCTCCCCTGCACACATTCCCCACACCCTCTCTACTCGGTCTTTTTTCTCTGAAATTAACCCATTGGCATCTCAACGGTATTTTCCTTAATGTATCTTTTTCTACCCTTAACTTTCGTAATTAGTACTGCGTAAGAGTTGGAGATCTTTACACCTTTTCTTTGTTGCTCTATCATCCTTGGTCTGAGGCTTCCCTAGGCTTCCCTGACTGCAGTCTGCTCCCCGGGTTCAAGCGATGTCCCACCTCAGCGTCCCAAGTAGCTGGGGTTACAAGCGTGTGCCACCACACCTGGCTAATTTTTGTCTTTTTAGTAGAGACAGGGTTTCGCCATGTTGGTCAGGCTGGGCCTCGAGTGATCCACCTGGCCCCCTGGAGGCTTCAACTATTAAAAGAATCTAGATTCCCAAAAGAAAAGCAAGCAATTCATCTTTCTCTGCCTATCTATAAAATGGGTATAACACTCCTTGCCTTAGGGATTATCTAACCCGTGTGGCTGTAGCCTCACATTTATTCAAGAAATGGCAGTGCCATTTTTCCTCTGGCATGAAAGAATAAAAAGAAACTTGCCTAAGGCAATGGGACAAATGCATTCAGCAAGCCCATTCATTAGGTTAACTACTTATTGAGAACATGTCACATCCTAAG